CGTTAGGGTTAGGGTTAGGTTAAGGGTTAGGTTTAGGGTTATGTTAAGCGTTAGGGTTAGGGTTAGGTTAAGGGTTAGCGTTAGGTTTAGTGTTAGGTTAAGGGTTAGGTTTAGTGTTAGGTTTAGGGGGGTTAGGTTTAGGTTTACGCGTTAATTTTAGCTTTACCGCTCACAGCGTGCTTTTTTCGTCGCGCTGTGATGACGTCAGGTACGTGGTTTCATCGAGCGTGCTTTAGTTGACCGCGGTTTTGTGGTGGAACCAAATATTTGTAAAAGTTTGTTTTTTTAAATTTTCAATTAAAAAGAAAAGAAGGGAAGGGGAGGAGAATGATCAAACCACGGCAAGCCTCGACGGTACTTTGTCAAGAAGACAAAATCCCAGTCGCTCAAGCCCATTAGGCTGACTCTCCGATTTCACTTCAGTATTTGCAGGACTGAAAACAGGCTGTAGCCAGTGGGGCAATTCAGCCGGTTCGATCCGGTTCGGGCAAACTGGTAGTGGTTGCAGCGGGAGGCTCCGCCCACCCACGGGGACGTCATCACGTCCCATTTTTGACGCTCTGTGCATGCGCGGAAGATCCTGTGCATGCGTGGAGGTGGCGTGCGGTGACATTTGCGAACTGGTAGCGAAGGTAACTTGATTTCACCCCTGGTTGTAGCACTCTAGAGGACAGGTGGGGGAAAAATAAATTTAAAAAGTTACCTTGATGATCTCCACTAGTTGATCCACTCCACTATCCCCAGGGAAGATGGGCTGCCCCAGGAGCAGCTCGGCCAGCACACAGCCTGCAGACCAGATATCTATGAGAGAAAAGAGGGGTGCCGTCAGCCCCACGCGGAGAGAAGCCATGCCCCCACTGCTTGCTAGAGAGGGCTGCTTCCTCTTGCTTCCTGAAGTCAGCCTCCTAGCTCCCTGGTTTTCTGGACAGGCAAAAGGTATCGGGTTCGAAACTGAGCCTCTCTCCAAGCAAACTGCAAACCCAGTTAAGGGCTGGAGAAAATGCTTCTCAAACAACACAGAAATACACAGCAACAGGAATCAATATGCTGGCTAGAAAGATCAGGGAGGGCGAGACAAATGGCCGGAAAGGGCGCTTCCAATTCTCCCCTGACAATTACAAACAGCCCTCGAGGTACAACTACAACTGGGGCCGGAGCTTCCATTGCTAAGCGACGTGGTCGTTAAACGAGTCACACCCAATGTTATCACTTTCCCCAGAGTTAAGTGAATTTGGTATCCCCAATTCAACTTGGTTGGAAAGCCCTGGGAAGGTCCCCGGGATGACGCTGCAAACATGCCAGGTGCTGAATATCCAAATTCTGACCATTTGGATACTGCATCGTTATAACTTCGTGCGGTTGCTAAACGAATGGTCGTAAGTCGAGGACTACCTGCAGAGGTCTCTCTCTTCCTAGGATGCAGCCACAGACAGAGCTATAGCATAATCCATAATGCAACCCCATTTCCAGGCAGACTACAACTGTCAGAATCCCCCAGCTAAGGCATTTAATCCCCCAGCTAAGGCACATAAGAGCCGAGGTGGC